CAGGAGCAGCGGAATCCATCCGAGAATATGTGCGGCAAGAAGTCGAAAATGGACAGGTTGGCTGAATTACCGGACCTCTGCATTGACGGGAAAACTCCATCGATCATCAGCAGTTCTGATATCAAGACATCACCCGCCTCCTCATCGCCAGTACTGAGTGTCCCGCCCGTAGATTCGAGAGGTGCATCTGCAAATCAACTTCCATGGCCATTGCTGGGATTGCTTGTGACTTTGCTGTTTCTCCTCATGGGTCGCATCCCTGCCATCATAGCAACCTCCGTGTTCCTCGTCCTGGTTTCGGAGATACACCACGTCCGAGCTTATCGTGGACGACGCGAGCGCGGCACTCGAACTACAGTAGCTGCCAGAAAACTTTGCGCAAGTCCACCACCTCACAGACGCCGCTACCATGGAAGCCCTTCAAGACAGGCATGAATTTGAAACCGAGATTTGAATCAGGGAGAACGATTATTTGAGATGCAGAGTTTCATGCACTCCACACCTACCCGGACCTTAGCTGTGTACATCAATTTTTTTGGCGAGAGAGAGATAAGTTCTAGGTGTTGTGAGTGCGAGGTCTGAACTACTTAGAAATCACCATGTGCTCTGCAGAGAGGGCCGGATGCTATCAAAATGTTAGCGGCTGACGAGCAACTGCGCGTTGCAGCAGGTTCAAGTATTAGCCCAGCAGTTTGTACAAACTTTTCGCTTGTTGCAGACATGGATCACCATGCGAATCGATGGTTATGTCTTTATAAGTATCAATGCGATTGTAATACCTTTATTCTTAACTTTGCATCTACAGAATGTCTGAGGTTTTATGTTGCAATGAAGGTTGAGAACCAGGACTTGCGGTCAGACCGCAGGATGAATGCACGTTGTTTGAACAATTTCATTTAATCATGAACCTTGACACTCCTAAAGTCAGATAATATAGAAAACTGAATCATTAACGTACCTGAACTTGTTTCTAATGTACAAAAGCGACCGTTACCGACATTCTAAGTACCCACGCATGTGCAAATTTTGAAGAGACTGTAAAAGTGCATGTGCCCCACGTCCCGCTACCCTGACTGAATTAGTCAAGCAGGGTTTCAGCGTGAACGATGACCATCTCCGGCGAACACACGCAGATGATGAACACAAGGGTGAAAAGGAGGAAGGCGAAGAAGACTGATTGAGGTGGTTGATCCATCTCTGCCACCACGTGGTAGAGAGCAAACGTTTTAGAGGCCTCTTCCTCCAAAGTTTTTCGTAATTGCTCGTTAACATGTTCTGGGTTGCTGCGGTCCGCATCTCTCGAAACAAATAAGAAGGCATAAAAACCTGACTCCATTATCGCTGCTCACTTTCTACGCTCATCATCTTCTCAAAGTACACTCCTCGCCGATTGTGAAGGGTTGAACCCCTTCATTGGAACTGAGTTTCTAAACCGCTGCATAACTTGAAGGTTACGGAGAGGGTAAATCCATAAACATTGTCATAAAAAGGTGTTAACGGAAGGCGGCAATGTAATAAACGTGAGGTTGATGCTGCATTAACGCGAACTCTGCAGGTTGGTCAGGGATATCGTGCTATCTTCGCTGTCGCTACATTTGCAACACTAGCAAGATTGAAAGTCTTGGCTGACAACGCTAAGTCACATGCACTTCGGATGTCTAGCAACCTCCGAAGGGGATGGACTTGGTTATCGTCAAGATCCGCTGTGGATATGTGAGAATAATAATTCTTTTCAAAGGAATGTATTGAGCTTCCTGTCAGATGAGATGGTCCAAACGGGAACAGAAATCTAATTGAGAAGCCTCACCAGCTCATCCTAGTTCACCCTCTCTTTCAATACCACAGACTCTGGACATCGATGTTCCCGCTGAGCCATTCCTCGCTTCAAGTCACCTATGATACGAAACACAAATATAGCTTCCAACAGTTGTCCACAAGTTTCTGAGGAAGTTTCACAAGCTCTCCTGGTGCAAAGCACAAGCTAGGTTCCATGTTGCACAAGCATTGTGAGAAGGGTTGATGCGAGGATCTTGCAGGATATGTTTGAATCGGAGCATCTCCTGATTCCAAGTTTGCAGTCTGCTTGTTATTGTTGTTGTGTGGGGTTGCACCTTCGCCTCCACATCTATCCCTGCCTCTTCTGTACTTGTCTCTTCTTCAAGCTTGCTTGTTTCTTTCATCCAGTAACAATTGAAAAACAGCACTAAAAAGCTTGAGGGTTTTCAATGAAATTTCAAGTGAGTCTGATGGACCCAGCAGTGGGTTCATCCCTGCTATTTTTAATTATAGGCAAAGAAGAAAGTAAGTTTTTGAAGTGGAGGGAGCTTTGGTGTTGCTGCACCCCACCAATTCTAAGACTATCTCCCCCACTTACATTGGTGAATGTAAGGTTATTCAAGTATTTAAGAAATGTATTTTTAATATTTATTTTTTTGACTGATAAATTCTTTTTATAACACATGTTAAAGTTAGTGATGTTTAAGTGATGCTAGATCATATTTTTGTGAAACTTAATTAGTTTAAAAAATGTTAGAATTATCTTGATTTGATGTAATAGAAATAATTTATTTCTCCTATAAACATTTGATCATTACAAATAAGACCACCTAAGAATCCTACATAAATTTGGTTAAAAATTACATTTCTTCAAATTGGTATTGATTTAGCATTATGAACAATTTATACAATACTTCAAACAAATTGATCATATGTATTTTATTTATATATATATATATATATATAAAAGAATAAGAATCAGTGCAATAATTAATGAAAATATTATTAATAAAGAAAAAATCATACAATTATTCCAAAATTATCATGGTTATATATAATTTAATAGATTTTGTAGACATTTTTCAATCTTAGATTTTTTTTTACTTTGTTTTTGTGATGATAGATTATCTTACCAAAATGGTATATTTTGTATTTTGTACAAAAAATATTATCAATAAAATTTTCTTAGACTTCTTACTAATATAAATACAATCAAAATTCCAATTATTTTCAAGGTTTTGATATTACTTTTTTACATACTACAAGTTGATATCAAATTATCTTTAGCTTTTCATCCTTATATTGATTAAAAATATATATAATATGTAAATTGATTAATAGATATATAGTTGCAATGTACTATTAATTATTATTATAACAATTAGATAATTATCTTAAAATTAGAAAAAATATAGATAATAATATAATATATTTATATATTCAAGAAATATCATTTTTTCCTACTTGTAATTTCAAAAAAAAATTAAAAATAAAAATTAAAACACTAAAAAACTAAATACAAAAGATTGATAAGTAGAATCTTGTTAGGTAAATAATATCTCTCTTAAGAAACTTTAAAGAAGTTTCTTAAATGTAGATTAAATCTTTAGAAGCAACATATAACTTAGATGCTTAAATCACAAGCCTTATAGTCCTTGGAAAACTTCTTCACAACTTTCTTAGTAGCTAATATGTATAGAAGCAAGATTAAGGCCACCTTCAATCTTTTTAATGACTAATTTATATTCTCCTCTTAGTTTAAGATTCTCTAGTTCTTTTTAACTTTATAAAAACTTATTCTAACTCTTTTCTATCTTTTGTCTTCAAAGGTTGTTCTTTTTTAAAAAATTAAAGAGAATTGTAGAAAGAATGCTATTAAAATGATATAAAAAATAAATAAGCTGCAAAATATAAGACTAAAGTTGCGAAGTACCAAAAGTTGTTGCCACTTTATTCTTAAGAGTCAATTAAAATTATTTAGAGATAATAGAAGTGCCATCCAACCAAGTCTAGTAGGTGAAGTGAGAAACATCAAAGATTAGTAAGATAATATTTAAGGTTAATTAGTAAAGAAAAAAAAACATATATATAGTATAGTTATTACAATTTTTTACTTTTTAAAATACTCTAATCCCTTCAAATCTTTACCTTCACACTCATACAAACAATTTATTTGGATTGCTACTTATTAGTTACTTACAATGCCATTCATGTTTTTTTTTTTTTTTTTTTGATAGAAGGTATATTTCTCTAGAGCACTGCAAAGGTTGTGCATTATCCACATCTCTTGAAATACGTAAGTCTTTGTCTTTATGTTTTTGCTTTGCTGCATAGATATTTTTCATTTTTGTGTATATTTTGTATATAAACATTGATATTAAAATCCCTGTTCCTCATACTTAGAATCTTGAATTTTTCTTGAATTTAAATTTGCATCTATATTTTGCATGTACGATAATTGTGAGCAACATTTTAAATCCTCAAACCTTTATCAATTCTACCATTGATGCAAAGCAATCCAATTTCAAATATAAAATTCAACTCAAACTAATCATGTTTTGATTTTGTACAGCCATTGTTACGACATTATTTACAAATGTGTTCACAAATATGTGTGTGTATATATATACATACATACATCATCAGACACTAGTTATGCATCCAATAATATAAAAATATACATAGATATTTGAAATATATAAAAATATACATATATACACTGAAATTGTGCCGAATAGTGATGCCAACATATTACACGATTCCTAATATGTAATCAGTGCACTTGGTCAATTTTTTGAACCAGGAATGAATGATTAGTTCTACTATTCTACACAGCTTCAATAAATTCATCTGTGGATATGGTTATAGACCTGATGTACCCTTCATCAAAGCTTTCTACAACCATAACTTACATTAAGTTGCTATGCACTGATCTTTACAGTAGACTTCACTTCCAGTTGTACCGGTAAAACCTGAGAAGCAGACATTCTTACTGGATATCGGAATGAATAGTTAAACAACTATTCATTCAATTACTTCAAACCCATACTTATCAGTAAACTGCGTCAAGTCAGTCTAGTGATGTGGTTCAATAACAGCTTTCAAAACAAACATGGGACGTGATGGCTTCTGCGTGAAGGTTTACCCCATCGTAATTGAACTCAATGTTCATTGATGAATTCCAACATACTTCACCAGAAAAAGCTTTAAAGCAGAGAAAGACGTACAGGATACTTAAGAAATCTCTTGCCATTATACAGATACACGGTTGAAGAAAACACTGACAAAATTCAAGTCCACCACGAGGACTGCATTTAATCCTGTCTAGACACTGCTATCACGAAACGTTGTTCTAAATCACATCACTATAGAAATGAAAATATAAATAGCGATAACTTTCTCATTGAAAAGCCAACAAAGATTACAGGGGTTTTGGCCTAAGGGTACACCGTCGACTGCATTCCAAATTCCACATCCTCCAACTATGCTCACCTGACAAAACATGACCATTATACATCAATCACCGCAGCCTCTAATGTAATATGGTGAACTGGGTAGACTGCTATGAACACTCCAAATTGCTTGACTGACGGGATTTGAACATGCAGAATGAATTTAGCCGACGAGAGTAACCATTCTAAGAACATGACATCAAAAATGTATTCCATACATGTTCATGCATCACAAGCGCAGGTGACTATCTTTCAATCACATTATCTTAAGAACATCCTAATGTATACATGACGCAACTTTTATTTCTACAGTAGTTTTAAGGGATAAGAAGACTCGTTCAAGTGAGATTTCACTGACGACGAGGTTGGATCAACTAACGGCTGTGAAGCACCAAATGAGGCAGTTCTGAAGTTCAACTACTCTGTACACGCCGAGGACAACAACCCGACCTCGCAATATATATATTACACTCAAAATGTGAACATATCTACACCCCTCGTTTTTTCTTTCCAAACATTTGGATCAAATCTTCCAGGTCAGGGGGTTTAAAAAAAGTGGGTCTGGATTGGGGCTGACCATCTTGATTGGGGGACATTCCGTTCTCTGATGGCTGCTGTCGCAAATGCGATCTTGGAGTTCCAGAGGTTGAAGGGAAATTATCAACATAAGCTGATTGAGTCCTTCGGTGCTCCATTGTAGATTCCCTTGGCGAAACTGATGGGTTCGGATCAGTCTTCACGCTCTGCAACTTAGATCGGGTGCGTGGCGTAGATTGCGCTAGTTCATCATCGCGACTTGGGGAATCACTGACAAACCTCGGGAGCTTTTCACGTGGTGAAGACTGCCCTCTTGGTGAGTCCTTGTCATCCAGAATTGGCTGCTTGCCCACCCTGAGAACACGAGGTATGTCATCATCACGTTCAGTATGACTGTTGGAATTAATAAAACGGGTAGGCCTGTCATCGTCAAACTTGATAGATCTGTCGGACTCCCGATGACGGTCGGATTGTCTCCTGACGCCCATATCCCCATACTTACTCTTTGGAGAATCCTTAGTCTCCTGAAAGATAGAACCTCGAAAATCCTCTGGCCCAACTGTTGCTCGTCGCCCAGATGTTCTTCCGGTACTACCAGAGACATCACCAGATCCACCTGCCAGAAACTTCGATTTTTCACGCACACTTCCTGGCAAACTCATCCTCCTTTCTGTGTGACAGGATTCATTGACCGTCCTAAGATTTGTAGCATGATGATAATCATCATCATCCTCAGCCTCATCGTCATACCCAGAATGACTTGACGTCCTCACTGATCTTGGAAAGTCGTCAAATACAGGCCTAGATTTAGTACTCCCAGTTTCATGTAGTGGCGCATTCATATCCTCTGGATTTTTAAAAGACAGAGTATTACTCCTTCGTTCACCAACGCTAGACAAGTTGGGGGTTCTCCGATTACCCTTACGAGCATACTCTTCTCCAGACTCTGAAGACCCGTCTGAGAATCGGGTGTCCGTAGTTTTGGCACGGGGCATTGACTTAGGATTTCTTGTTGCACTTCCTCGGGGGTCATGCTCTTCTTCATCCTCTTCCTCACTAGAGTCAAAACAAGGTGCGCTGGACGTTAGACCTTTCTCCAGCCCATGCCCATTGTAATTGAAGTAGGTGTCGTCATCTGTTAACCGAACAGCTGTACTGTTACTCTTTCTCCGCACATCATCAGTATAGACTCCATTGTCCTTCCCCGCATATTCTTCATCATCAGAATTATGTGCTGAGAAATCATCCAGAGGCATAACCTTTACTGTATTATTTAGGGAATCACGTCGCGAGCTCTTTGAAGAATCACGCAACTCCTTTGAGTTTTTAGATTTCCTTGTGGTGACAGTCTTCGCGAAAGGATAGTTATCCCAACTAGGATTGCAATTATCCTCGTCTAAAAGCTCCCCCTTGCGTGTGTTGTTAATGGAATCTCTCCGACGAGAATCTTCGAACCGAGGTGATACATGGCCTGCATCTTCATCTGGATACTCGGGCCTCTGATAATTTCCCGTAAATTTCGAACTCTCCCTACTTTTACTATTAAACTTATTATAACCCCCCTCAGCAGATGTATCGCGAGTACTCTCTTTATTTCTGGAAACTTCGCTATTCGAAGCCCCCCTCGAGGAACCGCCCTCTAAGTAGTAGTCTTGGTACTGTGACCTTGTTTTCTCAGTACCTCCCCTGCTCGAAACCCTCACGTTCTTGTCTTCAACCCAATCCTGCTCATCTCGCATTTGATAACTCCTAGCTGTGTCAAATCCAGACTTGGTCTTTGCATATAACATCGCGTCATTCTCAGAAGACTGGTTGAACTCTTCGACAGATGAACGAGCCAACAATGGTTTTCTAGTGCTAGACTTGTCAACATCTGCCTTCCGCATATGACCCTTCTCTACATATTGATCAAACCTCGGGTTTTGACTACGATCTGACCTGCGGCTAACATCAGATTCTGGTTCATGCTCCCTTCCGTAGTCATCTACATAAGCACCCTGCGACATTCTCCGGTTGTGTTTCCTTTGCTCGTGTAACGCAGGCTCGTCTACATCCCTGAAAGCAGATTTGGCATGCGGCCGGCCACTCTTCTCTCTAGGTACACCAATAGAATTACGTCTCGATTCTTCGCCTATGAACCGTTCCTGAGATGACGGTGTAGGAAAAATATCCGACTCGCGTCTCAGATTTCTCCTAGACTGGGCTTCCCTACTCTCTAAATCCATATCGAGATGCCCACCTTCAAAATCTAAATCATCTGCCTTGGGAGGATTTCTGGGAGGGGGCTTTCTGGAAGGAGGCCCACTTCTGCGCACAGTATCTTGAGAATTATCAACAGAACGTGACTTGTTCACAGGATCTACTTTATCTTCCACGAAACTTCCCGATGACGGTGCTTTAAAAGTATCAGGCCAAGGGGTAGAGCTTGAAGAAGATGAATGGAACCCAAGTGTTGGGTCATGATTAGGTACAGAGGGCAAATCGTCGATCATGGTGCGAAACGTATCAGCGCTCGTAAACACAGTAGGTCCATTCTGCAATACCAATGAGTCATCCCCGTTACAAGGATACGTGCAAGAGGAGTAATCAATGAATTAGTGAAGTACTTGAGTCGTTCAAAAAGAAAATGATAACGATCCACTACTAAGGGGCTTACTAAAGGTCAAGAGCATCACCACACACGAGCAAAGGAAATAGGTACTTACGAGAAGATCATCTGGGACCTCTCTAATCTCCTTTTCAAGAGGGGCTGGATCCCACTCAACATTATATTCTGCCGCTATTGCTTTCATCACCTTCAGCTTTAATTCACCCGTTGCAAGACACGTTGAGAGCTTCTCAATAACCTGTGGTTCATTAAAAAATAAATAAATAATAATCTTTACATTCTAAGATCAATTGGCATCTTCAAAGTTAATGCAAAACTGTCAACACCTAGGTCCGCCCACAATTAATTGAAAAGCACAAACCCGGATTTGAACAACCTAGACAATGGGAGAAGTAAAAGGTGGTAATAATTAGCGACAAGGAAAACCTGACACATTCATCCACTGGACGCCTGAAACCCGTTCTATGAGAACAAATACCAATCCAGCTCAAGGGAATGAATCGATTTACCCTTCCATTCACCCCGCAGCCAGGGCGCAATTCCTCTGCTGCTGATACAAACTCCTTCCCATATTTAGAGAGAAACATAGGGCGGATATCAGCAAAATCTCTTAATTCGGAACATCTTGAGGTTGCAAATAGCAGTGTAGATATATCTTCTTTCAAATTCGGAGGGCAGGTCCTGCCACAACGATCAAACCAATGAACGCTAAAAAGTGGAAGTTCCGTATATTCACATCATTTTTAAAAATAATAACTTGTATTTAAAAAGAAATAGTACAAGACGCCAATGACAAACAAATACTTAGAGCTTAAGAAACGCTTCCGCTAATCAAGTTCAGATTCAATGTAAGACAAATATGAGTGCTGAATCTTGGCAGGAGAATTACTTCTGAGAATCGATAACCGATATTTCTGCCGCTATTCGCTCAGCATAGAGTGAAACCAAGTCGTAAGCATCTATAAGATTCTGCTCCCGTATCACTTGCTCTACCTGTGTCCACGAGCTTTAATTGTGAGGGATGAAAGGGGGGGAATTTTTAAAATTGATTATCCGTCGATAATCTAAATTTTCACAGAATCAAATAAACAATGAAAGGAATGACAAAAACTGGTATTCTCCACTTATAATACAAGAGCAGCTCTAAATTATTAGATAATGTCTTCTTAGCTTAGAATGTACAGAAAAGAGACATCATACATACCCGCAATCGAGCTGTGCTTTCTTGCCCCTTTCTTAGTAACTCGGCCACTTCTCTTTTGTCGGATGCAATTTTAATTCCCTTTTTATTGCGTAATAGCTTAATTCGAGATGTTCCCAGACGAAGTTGAGTTTTGCTACAAAACAGAAACAGTGAGAAAAGAATTTTAGATATATGTCAATGTGTACTGGCCAACATTCCAATCTCAGCAACTTGAATTTGGTGTCTAAATTAACCTATGAAATTAACTAAAATCTCGAAACCTACCCCGATTTGATCTGATGCGAACCAATTTCAACACTCTCGTCATGCCCAAGACATGTATGAAATCAACAATCCATCAACAGGGTATTACTGAAGAGGAAGCGATGGAAGGAGAGAGAATATTTCAGCAACGATAATAGAAGGTGAAAATAGTGACTTCATGTGTGAGAGCTACTTGTTGCTTGGACCTACAAACTCTACATTACAAGTGTTCGCGACCATGCAGACAATCCAAGTAGAATACAGGGAAGCGACTAATTCAGCAATAGCATATTTGAAAAACACATACCAGAAAAAAGTAAACCATATGCATTTCAAACGGTGGCATCGCTAGGCAGTTCGCATGGAAATAACACAACGATCACTAAACCAAATAGGAAAGTGTACAGAAAGAATCTATAGTACGACCACCCTAAGATCTCGAGAACATAATATCTTGAAGGGTCGGAAACGAGATACAGTCTGTGTGCTTCAAACCAATGCAACACCTAAGAACATCGGAATTGAGCTACTTACCATTTTGCGGCCTGAAAGCCTTTGTGCAGAAAAGAATTCATCCTCTTCATAATTTCGTCGCCTTTCCTGCTACGAACCTCTTCAAACCAATCGGGCACGTGGAAAAATCCCACCCACAATCTCCCCTCCGATTCAGATTTCTTTAAGTCTGAACTTCCGCACCATGGAGCCGAAGCATACCAGCCTGTATATCAGATACGGACTTACCGACGATTACAATCCCTGCCGCTCTCCACAGCTCTCCGAAAAGTGTGGAGGACAGACGCACCTACTCTAACAAGTTCACAACAAGAAACATCACTCCGCATCTTCAAGCGCAAGAAATGTGCCCTCGCGTATTCTCACCGATTCAGCCGACAAACGGCGTACGCGAAACTCCGCAAAACTGTCAAATCAGTTAATCGTCCGACATTACTCTCCTCTCCCAATCAGCTCTGCCGGATCCGCCAAACGAAGCTCACGCGCATTCTCCTCGACGCAATCTGCAGGCATGCATGATTGAACAGGAGAGCAGTCTACGCTACACCGTGCCTACTTCCTCGTTCCCTACCACCTGCTCCGCTCCGCTCCGCTTCCCAACAGCTCTTCGAACAAAAAAAATTACGGGGAAAGCTGAACGGAAAAAACTACTTGCAGACAACCAGCCGACGCGTTTACCGACTGACTGGGCGAATATGCCTAAGAACTCTGACGTGTGCTGGAGTGTGATGAGGCTTGCAGCACCTCTCTGCACGCAATCGGACCGCTACTTTTTATTAAAACGCGCTAAATGAGTGCCAAAGCAATTTAGCTAGCACACAGACGGGCAGATTAGTGGCAGAGGGAGAGCAGGAAGGGGGACCCAGATCTAGGGTTTGGGTGTGAGGACGAGTGAGTGAAGACCTTTCCAGGCTGCTTGTTGCAGCGTCATCGAGGAAGGTAAGAGCGACGACAATGGCCTCGTTACAGCGTGAAAGCGGGCCCGCAACCCCGCAGCTGCTGCTGGCTGCAAACGGCACGCGGCTGCCGTCTTGCTTCATCCCTCCCTCTTTCCTTTCTCAGCTTCGGCATCGCCACACCTCCTCGTCCCCCACTTTCTCACGTCGCGGCGGGCTGGGCGGGAACTGAGGGACCCGCCACGACAGGACGGACACCCGTTAGAAAGTGACTTTTTGCATTCTCGGGGGGGGGGGAGGGGATTTGGAGCACGCCAGGGGGGGTGGTGCTGCATCCATCCTCCACGTTTGACTCCCCCTTCTTCTCATCCCCCTTACAGACGAATGTCTCTCATTTGTACATCCCCTTCTAGTTCTCTGTTCATCTTGACCGGGATGAGTGCTTGATAATCCGTTATGATGATCCTCCTCACCTCAGTCTGGGTCGTTGTCCATTCACGTTCTCCTATTTGCTTTTTACTTCAAACGCTTCGGGCGGTAAATAATGAATTGTCTCAAAGAAAAATAAATAATAATAATAATAATAATAAATTACAAACAAAAACACACGTGATGAATTTTTATAATTATCACCTTTGGACGATCTAAAATTCTATTTATGCAAAATACATAATTTCCTTATTTTCCTAAAATGAAGCAATAGAGTCTTTAATGATTCTCAAACTCCTCCACAACAAAACACATAACTAATATAATGGTTAATTAAATAAAATTTTGATCATATCTTTCAAAAATAATATGATACATTTGTTTGTCAAAGAATGGACTGGAGAGGGGTAACTATGGAGGCTTTTGGGGAATTGTTCAGCATGTATTAATTTTCATCATTTGCAAAGTTTTATATGATTTGCAACATTCTATGTTATTGTCAAGATTCATGTCTCATGTGACAGGTTAATTTCAGATCATATCCACATTTCAGATTCCTATAATTTCCTTCATCTCATCATCATTGACCATCAACCTATATATATATATATATATATATATATATAATCTTCAAAGTATATATAATTGTGAATATAATTAAGTAATGTTTCATTCAACTTAATTGCTGATGCATTTAAATAATAACTATAACAATATGTATATTTTTTGACATGGTGGATGAAATATTTATAAAGAAGTCATTTTGGGATAAATGAATATATCTCAATTATCAGTTGGTTTGAAGATCCAATAAATTTTTAAAAGTTGTATGGTTCTAGCAAGACATAGGTATGTAAAAAAGCAGACAACTTAGATTGGAGCTTTGGTGTAGTTGGTTGCTTATGTGAATAAGGCATTGATAGGCAAGTTCAACCTTTTCACAACTAATATGTTAGGCCAACTATGTACTTTCAAAGCAAAATTTATAGCCAAGTGTCACTGATTAAATGATATCGACACTATCATCAATGATAAGAATCAAAAGCAAGGTATACACACTATGGTCACAAAGTTGGAAGATACATGTCTATTCTTTGAAAGAATATAAGCTCTATATAGTGCAAAACCAACATGACCTTTCTTTGCAAGAGGGACTTCACCACAATAACAAATACAATATTATTAATGCTATTGCAAGACTCTATAGTAATATTAGTAATTAATTTATCAAGTCTATTGTCCAATTTGAATTTATTATATGTGGAATTACTACCCAAGGATATTTAAGAGGCTTTATTGCAAGACAAATTTGATAAATTAGAGGAGGTGTGGAAAGAAGAATATAATTTCTTTCTCTCCTTTATTTCTCCCTAGTCCCTATCTATTTTACAAACATCACCTTCTATAAGATGTCCATTACTTGGCAACACTGCCACCATCACCTCAAGAAAGAGAAGTCAACTACTTATTTTAGAATCCAAAAGAGAATCTGTAAAGTAGTGTCGCATGATGGCTAATACATTCATGGAGTCATCATAACTAAAAACCATTGTAATAATTGAGTGCTTGACTTTACTAAAGCAAGTTAGTAAAAATTGACCTTCATTTACAAAAAGAAATGGATATGAAAGAGAGATTGAAAAGGAACAAGACGATGTTTGAAAGAGAGAAATTAGTTGTAGAATAGGAAGGAAGAGAGATGTTTTGAAAATGTGATAGAAAAGACAAGTTCTTTGATTTAATCTAGTCTCACTTAATTCAAGGAAAGAATATACAAAAAATAGAATAGATTATAGTCCTTGTGAAGAAAGCATATAAATAAAATAAAAAAATTGTGACTTAAATTATGATTTACGTTTCATATCTTGAATTTTAAGATTTGTTTTTAGAGATTGCACTATTGTCAATCTTAAAAATTGATATATTGGTCGAGATATGATTGCACAAGGCTACTATGGAGAAAAGTGAAGAAGCCTTAGATGCAAAGTTTTAGAAGCCATGGATTCTAAAAGCCTTGAATGTAAGGTTATGAATGCTTCAAGTGCAAAATTTTGGAAACCTTGGATGCAAGAGTATGAAGGCATTGGATTTTAAAGGTAACATCCTTGTGAGTTTTTAGAGAGCAAAATTCAATGGATTATGTCATGTATATTTGGATAGTATATTTCATTTTTTACAAGATTATTAGTCTTATAAATTTATTTTATTTTATTATATTTCATTTCTTATAAAATAATTGATATTAAAAAATTGTGGCATTGAAAGCCTTTCTTACACAGAATCCAAATCTTGATACAAAACAATAGAATTCTTGTGGTTCAATTATGATTAGGTTTGATCTGTTATACTTGACTTAAGAAATAATTCTACTGCTTGCAAAGTTTTATAAAGTTGTAATTTTGCTTTGCTAATGCCAAAACACTTAGAAAACATAATTTGACCAAATAAGACATATCCTTGAAATCCAATCTTTTTGAAATATATAAAACCTCATCAATCCTATGTACAATAAAGTTGTTAATATCGACATCAAATCTCTTTTCAAAGAATTGGTGCTACTCTTTGAACTTGCTTATGACATAGATGCCTCAATTAATGGCAAAGTAATCTGGTTAGATGAAAAATTCACTTCAACTAAAGAGAGATAAATAATTCTCTATAATGGAGCTACTTCAATCAAGGGCTAGTCATTGCATTTAAACTTTGTTACATTGTCTTTTGTTTCTTAATACCCCATGAAATCCACAAGATAGAAGAAGGTATTGAGAGACATTATATTAAAACTCGATAAAGAACAATGGGTTGAACCTAGAGGATGAGCAAAATCAGCTCTACCTACATCAAAGGATAATTAAAAAATTTCTGATTACAATCACAATTAAATTACATAAGTAAAGTTAAGAGTAATATTTCACTAATGATAGCTCCTTGACAATTCTTTTGAGACACTTTACAACTTCTATGTTTGTTAATTGATGTAACATCTTATCATAATACAATGAGGTGTTGAGTCAAGAATAGAGGAAAGAGGTGTATGTGTTGATATAATCTTCTAAACACTTCATTATTCTAAATCTCAATATACTACATTCCATAATTCTACTCTACTCTCAACACTTCTTCCATATCAAAATTACTTCCCTCAAGATACTCATTCCATAATTCTTCATATATTAAGTAATTCAATTGTAGAATATTAGTACAAATGTATATGATAAATAAAGCATAGTAGCAATAGAGGAAGAGTTGAGCTTTATTCGCCGATTTTGTATTACTCTATTTTTTCAATTTATTCTATTTTCTATAATTTTGGTGGCCTTGAGATTTTATAATTTATTTCACAATAATACAATTAAAAGAGAAGTTGGAATGAAAATTGAAAGATGTTTTTATTTTTATTTATGTAATATATAAAGAACACCATATGTAGATAAACTAAACCTTGATGGTTGAAGATCCTAAACTCAAAACATGATTGTAGTCTTCTAGTTTGAATCATACATTGGTAAAACATCCAATGCATAATTGTAAGTCACAACTTTGTTTCAAATTTTTTTCTTTAAAGAGAATTGCTTCTGTAAATATAGTAAAAAAAAATTGGCTTTTGATTAATCTTAGAAAATTCAATTGTCCATATATTTTACAAATCATGCAACATATTATATGAAATGTAATAAGCAAAAACCAATCTACAATAAATTTTATATTTCTTAATGAATTGAATTGGATATGGATTTTTTTGAGTAAAGCCCACTTACCTTTTAGAATTCCAAAATATTATTTATTTACAATTTGCACTTTAGCAAAATAATAATTAATTTTTTTATTGATCAGTGGTTTGGTGGCTATAGGCTTATAGCCAAGAATAAGCATCTAGCTCATATCATATGCTGAATTTGCAAACAAGTATTACCTAATATCAAAGTATTTTTTGGAGTTTTTGAATATCTCCATCTCCTTGAATATTATAGCATGTGTGCAAGATTTAGGCCAATTAGTGATTAGACCAATCTTACACTAGTCAAGGTGACAAACAACTTACATATTGACAAAATATCTCTTTTTCATATCAAAGAATGTGTCTTTATTATTCTTAAGGCATGGGCACATAAAAAATTGTGTCCTATCGACAAGTCCAATGCAATGTTTAAATTATAAAAGGCTAAAAGATTAGCTAATTTGAAGCCTTTGGGTAGTATCTAGTCATTGTAGATACTATTTTTTGAGTGAAAGAATGGCCTGAATCACTTGATTCAAAAAGAATCATATTATGTTGCTACCAATATCCTAGGCCCTTCTTAATCTTCCAACAATAGCTCCATTCTTATTTAATCTAAGACACTCTAGTACTATAACCAGTTATCAAGTGATATCAATTTATAGGCAATGGCTCTTTTTTCTAAAAATAGAATAATGTTTGATGGCTAAAAGCACTATTTGAAAGCCCTCTCATAATTATCTTATGTGTAAGCAAAATTGGGCATTAAATTCATTTATAAAATAAATCAAAACTCAATTGCATAGTTTGGATATAGGATTTTGAGTGAATGTGAAACAAAAGCTATTGATTATGCTGTAAACTACCACAAATTATGC